CTAATAGCTCAGGCATCCAAAGCCCCTTCCCACAACCCAATTTGCTCCTTTTGCTGTGCCCTTCACAAGGAATCCCTAGGTGAGGATGCACACTTAAAATATAATGTAAGAACTCTAACTTTTATTATAAAGCAGTTATTTCCCCCCAAAAAAAACCCTGTGGGATTGCTGAGCTTTGTCAAATCTCAATCTCTCCAACTAGGAACATTTATGATGAGCCCACACCAACTCCAGACTTGGCTGCTGAAGATGCTCCTTTTCCAGGCTCTGGCATGATGGAGCAGCCAGAAGAGGTCTGGAGAGCAAACATCTCTTTGCCAAAACCCATTTCTAAGGGTTTTTTCTTTCTGCTGTGAAGACCAGATTCGTTAGTCTGCAGTGTGTCAGCCCACAGAAGACAGATTTGAAACCAACCTTAAAGCTGTGGCCCCCAACAGTGCAGTGCAGCTTGCTCTGCATGACCCACAGTCTTCAAATAAAATTTATTAGACCAGGATCTCTTCGATTTGCTTGGAATTTAACCAAACCATTGGAGAAATCCTGCTACTTTTCAAAGGACTTTTATTTTTCCTCCCCCTTTGAGACATTCTCTCAGCAGCCTCTAGATTAGGGCAATATTCAGACCTGGGCACACGCTCAGGGAGCTGCTAATTTCCAGCAGAGAAAGAAGTTGAGGTTTTAATGACACACCGTGGAGCTAATTTACACACACTTATAAACTCACCCATCAAGTTGCACCGTGGCAATTTGTCAGGCACCAACTTTTTAACAGCATCTACCGAGGCCTTATTAAAATCATCCCAAGATGTTTCCCAGAGAGACAAATCTATTCTACAAAATTGCTCATCTTGAGACACAGGCTCCCCAAAAAACACATGGCATTTGCTTTGGGCTTCCTTGTAATTTCCAGAGCAATTATTTCAAGCAATGATTGGCATGGAAAAGCAAAAAAAAAATAGCAGGCCCGTGTAGAACGTGTGAAACTTGGACTAGAGGGAATGTGGAACTTAAAAAAGAGACAGTAGGATGTTACAGTTTTGCAATTATAGACAGAACAAAAGAAATCAAGCTGAATTTCAGCACTGGTTCTGATGGGGAGTTGAGGATCAGGCCCAAAAAATTGGCATCTACTAACAGCTATCAGCCTGGAGTGCCCGTTTTGGACGGTCCTTCCCTTCTGACTCCCCAGTAGAAACATTTCTGCTTAACAAGACACATCATAATGGTGAGAGAAAACAAAAGTCACTTGAGAAACCCTGTGTTGAGCAAAAAATGCCCATCCCTGGCACAGCCCATGGAGCAGATTGTCTCATACAAAGAAAGCTTTCACAGTTAACCAACTGAAGTGGGACAATATACAGCCCACAGGAGATCAGCGTGACAGACAAATGCAGAATTACTGCTGGAGAAACCACTGAAATTTCACTTTTTTGGCCTTCTTTTACATTTGCCATGGTTCTTCCCCTCTTAGAGAACATTCCTGGATTTCCTGCTTCTCCTGGAGCATCCCGTGGCAGGCTCAGATGTGCCAGGTCTCTGTGTCTTTGAGGAGGCCAATTTGTGGTGAGGATACATGAAATAAGGGCTGACACTAGACACCAGGAGAGCTTAAAACTAACTAAATGCCCCATAAAGCTCTAAACCTGGATTTGTGAGTAGGTTTGTCAATAGCAACAGCAGAAACAGTGAAGATGGATGGCTACATCCCTCCTGCCCCTCCAAGTCCCCCATCCCAGCCTCCTCTGGTCCTGCTGCCCAGTCTGTCACCTCCTTAACCCAGAAAAACACACAAAGTCCTTCAACCCCACCCAAAACCTGCTGGTCCTGAAGTAAGAGTCTGAACTTAAGCTGCTAAACCCCAAAGCCTTCTGGAGAGGCTGAGGGACATCAGGAGCAGTGGGGGGTTTTTAGCTACACAGACTTATTGCAGAAGGGAAACCAGGTCCCTAGGCTGGCAGAAGAGCCCCTGCCAGTTTGCACCAATGAGTGCAGCAGCATTCCAAGGGTCCAAAAGCCTCCCAAAGCTTTGAGACCCTTGGCCAAAGGCCATCACCATGACATTACTCACTTACACCTCAGTCTTCTGCTAGAAGAAGCTCTGACCTTGCTCCAGAACCAGCTCCTGGTTACCTCAGGCATGAACTCACCCCAGCAGCTCATACCACCTCCAAGCTCTTGATGCCCCTAATTTATATCTGCTGGCCAAATGAAGCCAAACAAATTAAAACCAGCTGAATAATTGGACCTGATTAGACCTGCACTGACTTAGCTGAAGAAGTGTCCCACGTCTTCCCATAGATGTGCTCACACTTGGTCTGAGGATTTGATTTAGAGGCTTCAGGGGTGCAAAAGTTATTTTTAGCAGGAGCATCTTTATTGAGTATCTTCAGACAGAATGCTGGATTGGGTCACTTCTTCCTCTAGATACTGTCCCTCGTGTGATTCTACCCATTTGTCTGTGTGAGAGAATTATGACAACTTTCTGAAAAGCTGTTTGAAAAGTGGCCTCCTTAAATGTCTACAGAAATCCCTACGACCAAAATCACTTGTCTTTAGTTTACCTGGGTGGATTTAGAGACATTTAGGTGCCTCTACCATCTGGTGGCAAAGCACAGCAATAACATCTCAGACAGGGAGAAAAGTCTTGGGTTCATTTCTTTGGAAATTATCTCACACAAGTGAAAGTGTTCAGAACTTTTCAGGTTTTCAACGTTTATTCTTAGTATTACAAGTTCTATACATATGCATAATTAGAAGAGCTTATATTCTAAACCCCCTAGAACCGGGGGGGTGGAACTAGATGATCTTTGAAGTCCCTTCCAGCCCAAACCGTTCTACAATTTTTTGATTTTGTGGCTGTTTGACTGTGATACTTATTGTTTATTGCTTCTAGTTGATGATGTGTTGTCTTGTGTCATATCTTCAGGAGGTGACAGCAAGTTCTAAGACTGTTCAAATAGCTGAGTGTGATTCTGGCTGTAAGCTTCAGCAGCAGCCTGTCCCAAGTTATTCCCAGTAGGGATAAGAACATCTCACCCAAATCTACACCAGAAGTGGGTCCATCTGATCTCATCAGTCTGAGCTTCCTTCAGGGCCAGAAAACCACTTTCCAGGGCATTGTTCATCTTCTCTTAGGGTAGACGTGTCCACGTTTGAGGATCCACAGATCTTTGTTAACTAAAAAGAGCAGATGAGCAACCTGGGTGAAGCTGATTGCTTCTGGGATCTCAGACCTTCCATCACAGGGAGCTGAAATCAAAACCTCACACCTCATCCTCCAAGCTGGGGATCCAAGTGACTGAATGCAAACAAAACCCTATTCCTCTCTCGTACATCCTAAAATATTCCTTCAGGTATAGCCAAGCTACCCAGCTGAGCTCAGATAAAGCCTTGGACACGTGAGGTGAAAAAAAATAACCCAACCAAACCAACTCCTGCTCCTCGTGGGAGGGAATTCAGCAGTTAAACTGGTGAGTATGAAACTGTGTCCTTCAGGTCTAGGAAATTAGTGGTGAAAGAGCTGTTTCCCATTTCCAGCCTCTCTCTTATGTCAGCAGGGTGGTCGTTCTGTCATAGCTGCTCTTCTGTTTGGCCTGAGCAGCTGATTTCAACACGGGTGGGGTTGCTTGTCTTCCGAATTGGGAAATAACCTTGGTTCCGCAGTTCTTGTATGACCCAAGCAGAAGCTGCTGTGTAACAGCTTCTAAGTCACAGACCTTTGGTCTCCTGATCCACCCAGGTGAAAGTTCCATCATTAGCCCATTGCAAACCCTTTTGGAGTTGCTTTTTCTTTTTCCATTGCTGGGAGTTACCTCAACTGGAATAAGACTAGTCTGAGATTCCTAGGCTGGACTATTCTAGTTCCACATTGTCCTGGAGTGATGCTTTTCTAGATTTAAGCCAAATTTTAAATATAAACTGACTTGGCCTCTGTTATTTCTGATAATTCAGAAGATGCCTGTCCAAAAACCAAAAAGCAGTTGAAAACTGAGGTGCCCAAAGCCAGTCGCTGTGGACTGGAGTCTTTTTTCCCACACCCCAAATGGTTTTGGAGCTGAAGTAGAGGAAATTATTTTCTTTCACCAACAATATGGAAAAAGGAGTCACTCAGGCTCCAGAACTCCTTTCTAACCACATTTTTCCTGGTAATAGTAGGTAATAACTTAAGAAGGGATCAAAAGTGGTTTTGAACAGGTTGTGATCCCTTCTGATGACAGAGAAATGGCTGAGGTGGTGGGAAGAGTCCATCCATTTTTATGAGAAACAGAGGAGCGTGATGGAAACAAACAGAGAAAAGCAAAGAGAAGACAACAAGGGGAAAAAAAAAACACTGCCAAAGACCACAATGGTTCAGACCTTTATAGTTCAGGGAAAAGAATTATCCGTGCCTTAAAAATTTCCTCCACGTTTCTTAATCAACACAATGTTGGTGCAAGTTCTGTTGTGCAATGGTGGTTTTCTCTTTCTAAGCAATGCTCAGAGACGTTACCCACTGGTGCAGGCCCAGTGTTCAGATGGTGGTTGTTTAGACTCTACTATGTTCCACACCATAATTCCTTTCCCCTTGGACATCTGAGCTCTACCCAGGCAAAACTTGTAAGTCACAAAGCTCGCTGCATAACGCTGTCCCTCCCTGCTCAGGAGCTTGGTCCTCCTGACATCCCTTTGAGGGTGCAGAGAGGGATGGTCTCGTTGTCATCAGAAAGTGCAACTGCAATTGCAAAGCCACGTGAGTAATAAAAACCTTAAAAATGTCTCTGTCCTGCAGCAATGGAAAACCCATAGGTGGAATGAGGGGAATTAAAGCCCACAAACCAGGTGGCAATGCCAATGAAATCTATGGCCCTGGAGAAACCAAGGTTAGGTAAATTCCTGAGCTGGAACTAAATATCCTTTGGATTTCTCACCCTCCGTGTTGGATTCCAACTCTCTTCCCATGCCCCAATCTGCCATTAGTCTGTAGAAAAGTAACTCCAGGGTCGCTGCAAACCCCAAATGCCTCAGAAGACTCCGCGGCGCTTCCACAAACTCCACATGGATGCCTTCACCTCCTTATTCCTCAGGGTATAGATGAGGGGGTTCACCAGCGGGGAGAAGAGCGTGTACATCATGCAGACGTGCTTGTCAGAGGGGGAGGTGGAGAAGGGACGGAGGTAGATGAAGATGCAGGGCACGAAGAAGAAGGTGACCACCATGACGTGCGAGGCGCAGGTGGAGAACGCCTTCCAGTAGCCCTCGGTGAAACGGAGCCTGATGACCACCAGGATGAACATGTAGGACGTGACCAGCACCAGGAAGCAAACCAAGGAGATCAAGCCACTGTTGGAAGCCATGAGCCACTCGGAGCCGTAGAGGTCTGTGCAGGCGAGGCGAATGACGAGGGGCACGTCACAGAAGTAGCTGTTGATGGTGTTAGGGCCACAGAAGGGGAGCTGGACTGTGAGCAGCGTGTGGGTGATGGAGTGGAGGAAGCCTCCTGCCCAGCAGGCCAACACCAGGGCCCAGCAGACCCGCCGGCTCATGATGGTCGTGTAGTGCAGGGGCTTGCAGATGGCCATGAAGCGGGCATAGGCCATCACGGGCAAAAAAAAAATGCAGAAAAAACATCTGGGCTATACAGTCTTCAAAGGCAATGGTCTTCTTCTGGGAGAGTAGGTCCACCAGCATCCTGGGAGAAGTGGCTGAGCTGCAGCAGATGTCTATGAAGGACAAGTTGCAGAGGAGAAAGTACATGGGTGAGGACAGCTTGTGGTCAGTCCTGACTGTCACAATGATGGCAAGGTTCCCCAGCAGAACCATGGCATAGGTCAGGAAGAAGAAGGTGAAGAAGAGGACTTGCAGCTCCCTTCTGTCAGAAAGGCCCAGGAGGATGAATTCAGTCACCCGGGAGAAGTTTCCTGGTGCCATCGCTTCAGCTCAGGGTCACCTAGCACGGGTGTGGGGGTGAAGTCATGGGCTGGCCAGGAAGAGAAGGGGATGTGCTACAGCTCCAGGGTTCATGGATGATGGCAGCAGGAGGCATTTCCTGCTGTGATGCCTGCTACAGAAAGCACAGTGTCACATCATAAAGTATAGAATGATTGACTGGTTTGGGTTGGAAAGGACCTTTAGAGGTCATCTAGTCCAGCCCCCCTGCAGGGAGCAGGGACACCCCCAGCTAGAGCAGGGTGCTCAGAGCCCAAACCAACCTCCCCTGGAATGGTTCCAGGGATGGGGCAGCGACCACCTCTCTGGGCAGCCTGGGCCAGGGGCTCACCACCCTCAGCATCCAACATTTCTCCCTTCTCTCCAGTCTCAATCTCCCTCTTTGAGCTTCAAACCATCCCCCCTTGTCCTGTCCCAACAGCCCCTGCTCCAAAGTCCCTCCCCAGCTTTCTGACAGGCCCCTTTAAGTACTGGAAACCTGCAAGAAGGTCTCACTGGAGCCTCCTCTTCTCCAAATCATGGTGAGCAGTGTTTGCAGCAAGCACTGTCCACCTCTCTTCTTCCACCTTCCCACTCCCTTTCCAGATTTCTGGCCCCTCAACACTGACCCTCACCCCTGAACTCACTCTGAACACTGTTTTTCTGCATCGTTGTTGGTGTGAGCAGGTGTGTGCTCCTGTTCTCTTAGGGAGGACCCAGGACAAGAGCCTGGAATGCTGGAAAATTCTGCAACATCCTGTTACCTGCTCAGAATTTGAAGTGCATGATGCTCAAGCATCATGTCTATGGGATACAGCTCA